TAGACATGAAAGAAAAAAAAGAAGGTTGCTCACTCACTTTGGCCTATTTAAAATGCCAATAAACGTTCTGCATGTTATTTGGAAGGAAAACATGTGCTCTTAATTTTAAAAAGTAAATTGCACAAGAAAATATAAAGCTGGCAAAAAGTTTAAATTAAAATCTTTTGCTGGTGTCTGAAACTCTGCCCCAGTTACATGCAACAGAGAAATGGACCAAATGACTACAGTCTAATTTTTTATTTTTTTTTAATTGTATATTCCCTTCATTTTTCAGGAGCTCCTAGTTCAACCCCATGAAGCATTTCCTTGGATCAGTTTCTAAGGAAGAGGCTAGAGCACAACCACATCTTTTATACTCACAGGGATGGACTTCACTGTCTCCTCTGAACATATTACACACCAAACCACATCCACCCCACCACCATATTTAGCTTCAAATGATGTTGAGGGTGTTTCAAACTCACAAAAACACAGCAGTGCAGGGTTAAGACCAAATCCACTCTTAACATCTTCCCTGAGGCTCAGCTCTAGAATCACTGAGGTGTTGTTGCTTCAGTGGCTTTTCCTGTAAGTGACTAACATCTCCCAGCAGATGAAGCTGCAATAACCCTTCATTGCTCTTCATTGCTGAGTGTACTTGGGCTGATGAAAAAAAAGACCACTGCATTTCTAAAGTGGGTCATGACAACTCTTCAAACCAAGTTTCACAAGTTTTCCACACTGGGCTAACTTGGCTTCAGTTGCAGATGACTGCACAGGTCTCAGCTTTCCTGTGTTTAATTTTGATGCATGTAACATTTTAAAAAAACCAAGAAAAACCCCCAAAACCTCTGAGCTGCTCCATTGACTTCGCTCAAATATGAGCTGTTAAGCAACATGAACACAATACTCCTTCCTCAGATAATAACCTCAAACAACAGCTCATAAGTAACCTCCCTATTTGAACCCCTGATGTGCAGCTGCTGCCTCTGTGTGCTGATGGTTCCCCAGCACTTTCTCACCTGGAAGGACACTAAAATCACGCACACACTTGAACAGAGAGCTCTGTGAAACCATCAGCTGAGCCTCTCTGAAAGGAGATCTGTTTCTTTGTGTCCTGTTCCTCTGGCCTGATGTGACAGAGATGGATGAGGGATTCATAATGTTTGTTATCGGGTACTGGATTGTTTTTGAAAGGAGATCAGCCCAGTCAAGGGAAAGGAAGTCCTTAGTAAAAACAAATCTCACTTCTATGATGAAAAAGAATGAAAAGGAAAATAAGGAACAAAGCAGAAACACCCAGTGATTCAGTGGTGACAATGAGTCCCTTTTTACCCCCCATCAGTGCAATGTCCCAGAAGAGGTGGATGAAGTATCCTGTCCCAGCCATGCAGCAACTGGTGACACACTTAGTGTAAAATTCCTTAGAAGGGATTATCTGTTGGAAGTAGGAATTTGAACTGCCTTAGCTTTCTTATTAATACACAAAGTGTATTGGAAGTGGGAATATGAACTGCCTTAGCTTTCTTATTAATACACAAAGCTTTATAAAGTGCTGAGAAACAGACAAGACCAGTTCCTCTACTATCACAAAAATAAGCAATGCATCTAACATGAAAGAGTGCTAAAAAAGTAAACACATATGACTTGTTTGCAGCTCGAAGCTTAGAAAAAAGTGTTGCTGTAAGAACTTCAAAGATGTGTAATGCTGGTTTGTGTTTCAAACAAAACTGGTTTGTTTTACTGCATCTTACCCCTGCAGTTTCAGCAAGTCACAACCATGTGTCTCACACTGGATCTCATCCCGGTTTTAGGGAACCATTCCCATGATTATCACCCTTTAGAGATACAAGAGCTGTGCAGCACCAAGGGCCAGGCACTGTCCTAGTGACTCGCTGATCTTTTTGTCCACAAAGCATCCTACTGATTTGGACTCACTGGTCCCAGTTTACCTCTCCTTTTCTCCATCCCAGATGAATTTCAACTGGCCAGTTCTGCCAGCAGGCAGCTCCATTTGTGGCTCCTTTCTAACAGGACAATGATACAAAGGGTGCACAGCAGTGCTGAAAAAAAACTATCTTTTGGTTTAAGTGACAATCTAAATCTGAAGAGATATCAAATGTAACCCAATATTTAAAATAATTTTTAACTAGCAAGAGTAATTCAAATTCTTATTGTCATCTTCTAAATAAAGCTCAATTACCTCCATTTTAACCAATTATATAGAAAATATTTTCTCTACAGTCAAAATAGGTTAAGAATTCATTATCCATTATTTCCTGTGACTGGCAAAATCAGCAATTTGTCAATATTATGAATCCTTAAAAAGACAGATTTGATTTGCAAAGAAAACTACTGCAGCAAATGTCACACCCATTATCACATGGGTAATGATGTGGCAGAGCACAAATTAACAGGGATCAGTAATAAACAGCTCTTTAGCTTTCACAGCACCATCTATTACACTGTAAAGTTTAAATGCCTTTTGGGTAAGAACACATAGGTCCATAAATATGGTAATTAAGGGAGCAGATAAATGAAATGGTGTGAAACGAAGTGAAAATGAACCACAGTTCAGTGACCAACAGGTTGGTCTCACCCCCTAAGAGCACTGATGGAATCTCCCAAAAGCTCTTCCAGAAGAAATCATGGAAACATAGGAGCTCTGCTGGCACCACCAGCACTATGAGCAGTCCTGATCACTAGCCTGGCACTCCCTGGAAACATCAAATATCAGCAAAGCTAAAACTTCAGTACTTGGACAGATGCCTTTCCTACATGCTGGTACTTTGTGGATACTTAAGTGTTCTCATTCTTGAGGAAAAAAAACCTGTCCCTAATGTTGGTGCTACTGCACAACTTCTTAACCAGAAGACATCTTCCTCCTGTGTATGACTACACTCAGTGATAAGTTATTAATACATTCATAAATCAAGTGTTCAGGCTGTATAATATCAAACTGAGGTATTTTCTTGTAGGAAAACTGTTACACGAACCAAACCTGTACTGGCCAACCTGCACAGCCCAGAGTGGCAGCCCCCTGCACTCACACAGCTGAACAGTCACTGTCAAAAAACTTCTGCAAAAGCAGTGCAGATGGCAACCACAGCCCTCACAGTCAAATGTTTGCTGTTCAGCAGTGTAAGATCTGCACTCCCATATGACAGAGCTTATGCAAAGGGATATTAACTCCACCTCATCACAATCACAGCTTTTCTCACCTTGCAAAGACACCTCTGACATATCTCTTGAAAATATCCACTGGGACTTGTAAAGTGAGGTGTTGAGCTGCTAACTTACATATTTATTCTATTCATTTAAACAACATTAAGCTGCATTTAAATGTCAAACGTCCACTGTAAGATTCTTCACTTGGACTGTTTCAGAACTCTGCATGCTCTGCAAAATGCCCCTAACATATTCCTACCTGCCTTATTTTTGTCTCCAAGGCTGCTAGTTAGGGGTGGGAGCAGGTTTAACACCACCCTACCTGTACCATGCTGCTGGAGGCTAAACATCACTCTCTTCTTCATATTCAAGCCATGGACAGCTTCATTTCTCCTCCTCACATTACAACAGTTCCCCAAAAAGTCCAGCACCCTTTGGATTTTATCTTTTATTAATGCACCTGTTGCATCTTGTCCACTCTTGTTCTACAGCTCCAGCATTTTCCTGAAACATGATGGAAGTGTTGACTCATGAAGTACAATACAGAGAAGTTACCTTCTGCTGAGCTCCATTTTCAATAAAATTAATTAAAAAAATCTATTCATGTCATTCCTACAGGGAAACATGCTTAGGGAACATTTCTATAACTAATCTAAACACCAGGCTGTTTGCTAACTTTGCCATGGACTTCTGAAACAATGAAATATGAAAGACCCAGGTACTAAAATGCCAGTAGGAAAAGCTACACTGAAAATATTATTTTGCTTATACATCTATGGCTGCATGTGAGAAAGAGGCAGCAAATTCTGTTGTGACATGGTTTAAACAAAACACAATTTAGACTTTTTTTTTGTTGTTTCCAAAAGGAGTGCACTGAAATAGGTCTGGACTTTGAAAGAAGCCAGTTAGCTGCCTAAATCCCAGTTAATGTAAATGGCACTTAAGCTACACACTGGGCTTTAAAAAACAAACAAAAAAAGGGGTGGGGGGAGAGCAGTGGGCAGGGAGAAGGAATCAGACATCAATTTGAACAGCTCTATAAAGAGCTTAAAATTAACAGAGCTTATTTTGATTTCTTAATTTACATAAAACCATTTGATTCTAATTTAGTTAGCAGCAGCTAGAAAGCAGAACTTCATATAGGTTGGTTATTGTTACTGCCTTCCTAATCAAATGAGTCAAATGGAAGAACCTCAAGCCTACACGTGTAACTGAACAATACAGTGCATTGGTGAGTGAAAGGATTACTTACCAAGTTGAAATTGAGATAAATGTAAATACATTTTCCATGTAACAGTTCTAAGACCTGGAGAAGACTTGGCTTTCCTGCCTGGAAGACAGATCCAGAACAGTTGCTTATCTGATTCACTGTATTTGCTTTGAAATTTAGTTAATGAGTAAGAAATTAAAACACCCAGCCTTCTTTCTCCTCTTTATGTGATGAAAGAAATGTTTACATTTGTATTTGTCCTTGTATAAACAAAATGATTTGAATAAGATTGTTAAGAGACCTACCTGGAAAGGACTAGCTGGAGGACTCATTTCCTTCTGTCATACCACTAAGAAATTTAATGGAGACACTCAACTGGGCATCCAGTAATCTACATAACTGCATTAATGTAACATATATAATAGGGATGAAAAAAAATTCAGCCATAAATACCTGCTTAATTCAATGATTCCCTAAGATGACTTGTGAGAGCAAAACATAGATAAAATACACAGTGGCTAAAAATAAAAATCTGTATCTACTACCATGTTTACTGCATCATACAAAGCATAACAACCTATCCCTAAAGAATGATTAAAATTACACCAAGATGCAGACACGAAGTCTAAACAGTAAGTTGTTCATGTATAACAGAACTCCCATCTTCTGCTTCTTCTAGAAATGCAACCTTTGGACACTGCAGCCCAGCTCACCCGCCAGGACCTCAACCGGTAGGTGAGGGGCTTGAGAACACTTGAAGTTCATGCTCATGTTCAAGCTCTGCCCTGACTGTTAATCAAGGTGAAAAAGATACATTTTTCAAAACTCCAGCATCATCCCAGGAAGCCAGCTAAGGAGCCTGATGCCCTTATTCTCTGGGCAGATAACTAAAGATGACTTGAATGCACTAGCCTGCTCTACTAAAGACCCTAATACACCAGGAAACTCTCTCATTACTGATGTCATGCTGCTATATTGAAGATGACAGTGTTTAACCAAGCATGAAGCCCTCATTCTCAGTCTCATGAATGGCAATATGTGTGGGCAGAACTCCTGAATCCCTGCAGCTTCAGAAATAAAAATTGTGTCACTTACAGGTTTAGACTTGAAAGAAATAATCAGCTTCTAACTTTCAGAAGAACCCTCATTTCTGCAAGGCAGTGACAATGGTTGCAGTATTTCTGTAATCAGGGAGTTGTGGTAAATTCTCTGGACATCAGCTGCTTACAAAATAAGATGCAACAAACCACAAATAAGATGCAACAAACCACATACCTGCAACTTTTGAGTTTCTCCCATTCAAAACCAGCTCCTAATTGGAAGAAGCATATCCTACTTGACCATTGACATGTCAACCCTTAATATCAAACAGATAAGTTGCCACCTCCATCTGAGGATGTTAAGTCCTAGAGAAGGAAGTTTTCACTCCAACCTTGGTGTTAGGTTGGAGTCCAAAGCAGGAGCTGATGGTTCCTACTGTGTATTTTGTGCACACCTACAGCTTACACCATATCTAGTCTCCTTTTCTGCACCTTCATCCTCAAGTGCTGGTTGCACTATTCCCATCATCTCAACAGTAGCTCCTCTGAGTTCAGAGACTTTTTGGAAGCA